TATTAGATTCAATGTTTCATTTGGGGCGTGAGGATGGAAGTTTTACGGGTTCATTTTCTTTTTTATGCTTCTTAGGATAATTTTCTGAATGGATTTTGTCGTTCTTGGATGACGCTCGTCTATTTGATTGGCAAAAAGGGATGCTAGTTAATTTGGCTTTGAGTGGAGATAGAGGAATGTTTCACGTAGCAATCTTCACCTCTGGTCAAAGAATGCAAGTAATATGAGAGATTTTTGGGATGTATTTGAGACTTTCCTTTTAATGCTAACGATTCAAACACTCCTGAAAATGAGTTGGTGTTATTTTTATACAAAGGACAAGGTGCTTCTAAATTTTGCTCGAAAGTGTTCTTCTGGTACGACCAAGGAAAATGCTTTTGGACATAATTATGAAGCATTTTTTCTCCGTTGGAGATCATCGTGAGTTTATGCGTCTTCCATTAGAGACAATGTCTCAAATACATTCTAAAAACTACTTTCGATTACTCTCATCTTTTGTCATAAGATAAAGATTGCTACAGAAAACAAAACAGTTCTCTGTCTACAGTCAAAGTAGGAACAACTATTAGATTCTCAATGCGGTGAGGCACTGCTAAGGCTATTTGGGGCTATTACGGTAAAATAACAACAAAAAACACAAAGTCAAATAGCGGTCTAATTTAAATATGCATGAATATTCCAAAAAATAAAAATCTAAAAAGCATATTTCATGAATTAAAGATACTCAGCATGAAATAGATTGGGTATCACCTTGTTTTAGCCGATATGGGTATTGGGTTTTTTTTATGGATCTCAATCAAACCTGAATGAACAACATGTTGAATTGAATCGTACTTATATCAACAAAGTTCAATAATTCAAATTTTAATTCATAAATAATAAAATATTAAGCATATTTGCATATTCTTGAACCCACAGTTCAATAATTTCAAATTTACAAGTTAAAAAAGGTAACTAATAAGAATAGTCATTAGCATCTGAATCAAATCAATAATCAATAATTAAATAAAATAAGCAAGTATCCCAATTTCATAACTAAATTAGTAACTAATAAGCAAGTAAATAAATGAACAAATATATAAATTATTATCTTCAATTCGACGCAACGTCGAGGGCTAAAGCTGTGGAGACATTGGAATCTGTATAGTTAAAGGAGGACACGAGGAAGAGCTAAAGAGTAGTCATCGTCGTCGAGAAGATGAGCTGAGCAGTGAGAGGAATGTAGTAGGAGGAGCTCACGGCGAGAGGTGTTGTGGTGGTGAGAGGAGTGTTGAGGGAGGTGTCCAAGACGGTAGGAGGCGGCAAGAAGATGCTAGAAATCACGGGAACGGTGGATGCGGTGAGAGGCAACAACCTTTTAGGGGGACTAGAGTTTTTTAGAGTTGGATTGCGAGGAGAGGGAAAATCACAATCTGTAAATGGCTTAAAACATCAGGTCTTGCAGGTGTGGGTTAGGTTTAATTAAAAAAATAAATCTGAAATCGCTTTTAAATAGCGGTCAAAAAACGGATTTTACCCGCAATTGTCTGCTATCCACCGCTATGGCACACTATTGGCTGCTTTTGCGAGCGGAAAGGGCATACTCCGCAATATGTGATCGCGATCGAGCGATATCATTGTGGAAATGGCTGCTAACGCTATTAGCGGCGCTATTTTCCTCTATTTATAACAATGATTCTCCGTTTACCAGTTAAATAGATGAGTATGATTTCAAGAAGAACATGTGTCTGCATCCATTACAAAATAATTTTATGATAATAAGAAAGACATAATATGCTAAACCTTCCATCCCCACACGCCAAATATAGTAGTGAATCGATACTTAATTGTCAAAACTTTATCCTAGTATTTTGTTGGTCATTAGAATGCCAAACCATACAAGTTCGTTGGAAAATCTCTTTTACCTTGCCAAGCTCGATTATAAGGGATGTCCTTAACTCGAAGTGCAACTTCTTTTTAACACCAATGGTGTGATAAGTGAGTTTTTACTTCAAATATGTTAATATGGATTTCACATGATTTGTGATGCGCTTTCGAGGCGTTGCTTATGCCACATGAACAATTATGTGCATTTTTTATATAACTGTTCACCACCATCCAATCACACTCAATGTCCTTGCATTGTATAGTGACACATATATGTTATTTTCAAATAAATGTAGTTAATACCTAGGGCTACATTATAAATTTTCAAAACTTTGTCTTAAGTGTTCTATATTCACTGTTGAAAATAGCACCCAATACCAACGCTATAGCACTGCACATTGCGTGCCTATTAGGCTATTACCTACAACAATATCGATAAAAGCAGTGGAAAACACGCTCTTTGCGCTATTTGCACGCAATAGCGGCATTCAACATGTAATAGCACTTATTATTTTGGATTCTCAGTTTAATATCTGACTCAAATCCGACATATACTCGACCGTAATTAACTAAAACCCACTCAACTTCGTTTCTCTCTCCCCTCTCTAATTCGATCTCAAAGAAAACCTAATCTCACGATTTCCACCAACTCCACCGCTTCTTCTCTCCCTCCACTAGCGTCGTCGCTGGCGACCCTCCTCCCTTTCTCTGACTACTACACCTCAACTTCTATCTCTCTCTCTCTCTTTGACTTTAACACCTCAAACTCCAAAATACCTCTCTGACTTCCCTCCACTTCAACCCACACTTCTCCCTTTCCCTCTCTGACTACTCCACCTCAATCCTAAACCCCCCACTCTGACTGCCTCTTATGCTTCTTCGCTACATCCACTAACTCGAAGCTCATTGAGTCCTCTTCCTCCTCCTCAGGATCTCTATACATCATCAACTATGCATTTGTAGTATTTTTAGTTTTTTCTTTAAATTTTTTATTTTTTTGAATATTTATACATATTTAAATTGGTCCGATATTTGACTTTACACTTTTTGCTGCTATAGTCCCAAATAGCCTTAGCGGTACCTTAACGCTATGCGACATTATCCACTATCAATAACCTTGTCTATATTAACAAATTCTAGCTCCATGTGTCTACTTGCCTAGTGCTATAAGTGAGTATTTGAAGAGTAGAACTCTCAAATTGCTTTACAATCCTATGTTAAGGTGATGGGTTTCGGGATGAAGAAGAATCTTTTTTCAGAGGAATGTCAGGATTTCTGTGTCCAAGGTTTTGATAAATGGATTGCAACACCATTAAATTGTAATAATTTCTAATTTCCTAAAGCATATTATAGTTGCTGAGTATATAACAGCAACTGAGTTTATATTATGGCGACTAGATGTATGTTATACTTCAAATAGTACCCGTATGGGTAAACTATAGTAGTTATCGGTACTGAAAAAAATCTTGCCTTTTTATCCCATATTTTAGGATCCAGCCTTTTCTACTTTTATTATCTCTCTCCTTTAATCCCTCTTTTGTTAAATTGCTTTTTCACCTTTTTCCTTCCAATTAGTACCCCTTTTATTTTGGTGGTTGAGGATCTCCTACAACCATTAAGATCTAAGAAGAAAAGAACATCCCATATGATGATATTTTTCTGTTTATTTGCTGCCCATCTTTAGTTTCAAGTATAATCTGCTATAAGTATGCTAGTTTTCCTGAAGCTTATCAAATTTGAAGGAAATAGTGGAAATGAATGAAGAGTTAAATGGTGCACTAACCACTTTAGGGGACACATTGTCTCATGCTATTGAATGTGAAGGACACTTTTGATGATATAGAGTTAGGGGTGTAAAATTGAAATTGCTTGTTGTAAAAGCACATTGCACCTCACCTACCAAGTCTCACATGTGTTAGAACAGATTTTAAGTTAGTTCCATCAACAGACCATACCAACAGCTAATGCGTGATAATGCGAGCAACTAAAATTTGGGTTTTTCATGTTTATGTATGACGGGAACAATCGGGAAGGTATTTTGGGTTTCCCCCCTGTAATACTATACAAGATGGTTGGAATACAATTAGGTTTCAAAAAAATTTGTCTTTTGCCTTTTTGGTCTTAAGTATCATTTTAGAAATGAGTGGGTTTAAAAATAATCAGTGACAGAATGAGCAAAAAATCAAAGAACTGATGAAATTATTATGTTTTGATTTAATCAAATGGTTATAAAGAGTGTGACGGACAATATTTTGTTCTTAGCTTGTGGCATGTGTAATTCAATTGTGATGTATACATCTTAAGTCCCTATGCTAGTTTCCATATTTACAAATAGAAGTTGAAAGCTTAGTCTCAGACAATGATATTCCATATTCGTGTATGATTCCCAATCAAAGAGTATGGAAAGAACTATCAATAGAACTAGTGTCATACTCGCGTCATGCTATGGGAATCTTTTTATATTATATATTATAAGAAGATAAACAATTTTTTTGGTCGATAGAAGATAAATAATTTAATTATAAAGATAGTGATTTATTAAAAATTAAATAACAACTTTTTTCCCTCAACTGGCACTTAAAATTTTCCATAAATTTTGCTCGATTGTAGAAAAATATTGGTCGAATGAAATTACTCTATGTATCATGAATTTCGGGCTAGCAATTGTTATATCATTGATCTATAGCATATTTAGCTTGTGATAATTTTTAAACAAATCTCTTCAAGTTACGTATATTGTCCAGTTTCCTGTTAACATAAAAAACTACGCCAACCACCCAAAATAGCAACGCACTTTTAAAAGTCCATAATCTAGCAAAAAATTGATGTAATTAGGCGACAACAATAAATGAATGTGCAATTTACAAAGTTATGATCTATTTATAACTTATCAACTCCTAAGTATGCACCAATGTATGTGTTTATCTTTTCAACATTGTAAAGACTATAGAACATCCAACTGTGCCGGGGGAGGGGGGGGGTAATCATAATGTTGAATTGGAAAAATATTAACCTATAAGCAAAAATTGGTACAACCAAATACTAGGGGGGGTGCATTAATGTAGAAAAAAAATTATTTTATTCAATTAAATCGGTTAAGAGATCACACTTCTCTTCATCTGTGCTCAACATTGAGTTAAGGCGGATTAGATGTTGTGGGAGGGAGGGAGGGAGGGAGGTGTAGCATTCCATTTTTTTGGAAACAATAAAGTTTTTATTAAATGCATAAGAATATAAGTTGAGAGAAACACACGAGAATAAAATATAATTAAGGATAAATACTAATGTCAGTGAATATTTAATTGACGGGAGAGCAATGAAGCGTTTTTTGGAACATACACAAAGAACTGGAATGATATTAGGTTTTTTGGAACATACACAAAGAACTGGAATGATATTAGATGACATTTTCAGGTAAAGTGAAAAAGTTAATATTAAATTATTACATGTAATTACTACATAGAATATAAAGAGAAATCCAGCAATGAAGCGTTTTTTGGAACATGCATAGAAAACTTGAATGATATTAGAGGATTTTTTTAGGTGAAGAGATTGAAAAAGATTAATAATTAAATTATTGATTATTATACTTAATATTTAGAAGATAAAGAGGCAAAGCACTTAGAATGATATTAGAGGGCATTTTTTGGAACATACATAGAAAGTTAGAATGATAATTGAGGGCATTAAAAAGAGATAAAGTAGTTAATTATTAAATTATTAAATATAATTAATACATAGAAGATAAAGAGACAAATCCAGGAATTAAGCGTATTTTAACACAGAGAACTTGAATAATATTAGAGGACTTTTTTAGGCGAAGAGATCGAAAAAAGATTAATTATTAAATTATTAAATTATTAATAATTACAATTAATATTTAAAAGATAAGGAGACAAAGCTATTAGAAGTTGCCAATTGGCAATTTAGAGCCATGTTTTAGTACATTAAATAGATATGCTCTGAAATTTTGACACGTGTTAAATGCTCTAGAATTTTGACACGTGACGTTTCAGGTAATAACTTTAGTATATTGTATAGATTCTTGTGGATTTAAGAGCTATGTAGCACGGACACGGATCCGACACGGCCATCCGACACGCCGACACGAGGCAAATCCTAAAAAATACATAGGATACGTGTGTTCGACACGTGTGTCCGACACGGACACGACACGACACGGCTTCATGTTATGCGTGTCCGTGCTTCATAGTTTAAGAGTACTAGTACATGAACTATATGTACTTTCTTAAAAGATGTTGTAACATTCTAATGCATATTCCAGAATGTTACCCATGTTTTGCCCAGACAAGTTGGTATAGACATGTTATCGGCCAACTCTTTATTCACTCCAAACGTTTGATACAGAGTTGGCGCCATCGATTAGAGGCAGCAGGTTTTTCTTGGTACTTGAAACCTGTCATGATCCCGTTTACATGACTTATGTTTAATTGGATCTCTAGACAAAAGAGGCCCACCTTTATATGTGCTCTAGCTGCTAGAAAGAGCTAAGTTCTTTTTACATTTTCCTGCTTGGGACAAGAGGGCAGAAAGTAGGAGTGCAACAGAAAAGTTTGAGGCCATACAAAGTCGTGTCCCACTTACTGAAATGATGAAATCTTATTGAACTTAATGCATTCACGGTTCCCAGTTGTCAAAGCCACCTCCTTCATTATCTTTCATAATGGGGGTTGTTGGTTGAGGATTTTCAATTAGGTCTGGGCCTTTTTCTTGAATTCCCAATTTAGAGTGTTATTCATTTAGGACTAGGATTCAGATTTAATATTAAGGTGTTATTGGTTTACTACTAGGATTCAGATTTGAAATTTAAGATGTCTTTGGTCGTTTAGGATTGTTATTAGGACTAGGATTTCAAAATCCACACTCCAATCCAACTCAATACTTTTCTAATGAGAAATTTCGTAGGTAAAGTCCAAGTTAAAATTGGTGGATTGTTATCTCACGTAGGATTCTCTCTTTTCTCTTCAATATTCTACATTTAAAAACAGGCTTTTAAAGTTTCTGTCCATAATTCTAACATGCATAATAAATATTATTTAGTTATTTAATGTATCTCATATGAAATATATTTAATTTGAATATTTAATATTTCTAAATTATTAAATATTAACATTAAAATGTTTATTTTTAGAATATTTTTAATCAATTCTTTAAATTTATTTAATACAATTAAGCTGAAAATTATTTAACATTTTATATAATGTAATAAATTAAATATTTATATTAATTGGAAATATAAGTATGTTTATTATTTAATATTTCTTAAATATATAAGTAATGTGAATTTTTAATATAAAATGTTACACGTGTAGTATTTATTTAAATATTAGATATGAAATATATTAAATACATAATTATTAAATATATAATATTTTAAAATTTTAATGTATTTAATGATACAACTATATATGTAAATATACCACAATTCTAATTCAAATAGTCCATGAATCTAAACTTAAGTTCATGCATCCAAGTTCATGCATCCACCCCTTAGTCTTGAAATCCAACCCAAGATTTCAAATATCCTATTAAGAAGTCCAGGGCTCTAATTAGAAACTCTTTCAAATATCCTATTAAGAAGTCCAGGACTCTAATTAGAAAATCCTAGTCACAATCCCCATCCAAGAATGTCAGATGCTTGTACAATTGTCCTAGTCGTACAAAACAGTCCGGAATGAACAAACACTAAGACGAGGAACTCGAGTTTGAATTGTAATTTATTGAATTGTAATTCCTTTCTATTCCTCCCCTTACTGTTTTGACTTTTGACCATATCACCCTACCTTATATCCATATTGTGTTAATTTAGGATCAATAGAAAGTTTTTAGCGTGTCAGCTCTTTAATTTGCTCGGAACATTTAGGCTTATCATCATACAAGAATATAACATTGATTCTATTGTCATTTGGGTAAAATCCTAAGTGTCAAACCTCATCTGCTAACTCTCATCCTTGTAGTTATCTTAGATACTTCTCCATCACATGAAAATCCTAAATATATTTAGAACTAAGTCATTTGCCAACATTTTCCATAAACAGTTGTTCAATTCCAGTCCTCAGCACGCCCACAAATAGAGCCAAAAATCCTGGTGACTTGCATATGGTTACCGCTCTGTTAATACATTTAATCTGAACAGCGACCTATTTGTTATAATGACCGAGCTGAAACATTATTATAAGCAATATTTGGTGGGAAAAATGTAAGTTTTGTTCACTATTTTACGGAATTGTCCTCTATTTCAGTATATAACAAGGCTAATCTTTTATCCGGGATTGGTAACATAAAACCCTTCACCTCCATTCCACTTTGTTAAGGACCGTCTACACCTGTTAAGTTATAGCAATGATCTAAACTTATATGGGAAAAATTTCATCTAGTTGCGTTCCTTTGCTCTTAATTTACACTTCATTGCATAATGCCCAACCTACTTTTGAGTTCTTCTCTTGATGCAGATTTTATGTTCTTTCAGAAATCTTTTTGAGTTGAAAAGACCAAAGAAACCAACTTTTTGTTGTATTCTATTATTTAAACAAGTAGTAACTTATATGCATGATTGTAAACTTAGTTTTCTAAAAGGTTAGCTATCTTTTAAAACTTGTTCATGCATGTATTTTAAAATGAGATTTGAGGAGAGTGCATTTGCTTGGGAAAGCTTGGGCAATATGGTTTATATATTGTGGCGTTTATCATAATTGTCTATGTTATTTTTATTTTCAGGTGCTTCACAGCCTAAGTACTTTTAGAGGGGGGATCAGGAGCTTGAAGTAAGAAGTCACCACCTTTATTTATCTGATATTCAGTTTCTATGTAAAATCATGGAAGATTTTATCTACTCGTTGTGTCCGACATAATGTTCCTTTTAAGCTTTGTTGCTTCTTGGTAGGCAAGCTTTGTCAACTGCGGTATACAACTGTTTGATTCCATTGTTCATGCATTCGGCATAATGGGCTGTTTTAAATTTCATGGCTTAATTGTACCCCAGAGTGTTTGATGTTTGGCAACAATAATTATATTGTTGTGCGCATAAACTCGTTAATGCTCTAGCACTCAAAACACAACTTTGGTTACACATTCTCTAAGAAATGCCCAATTCCCCTTGATAATTACCTACATGAACTTCTTAATTAACTGATTATGCATGATAAGTTATGGATGATATGTTATGCGCTAGGCTCGAACAATTCAATCAATAGAGGACATTCATCTTATGGGTGCCCTATCCGACTAGGTTCCTAAGCTACGATTCATGCTAGTTAAATACCAAGTGCAAGTCATTCATAATTTGATAAATGTGGATACTTGGTTTATTATGTTTTATATTTGATTGAGTTTTAGTGATGAATAATCATGAGCGCCTGCTCACGACTCGCAATGTATCCGAAATCAAGAACTTAGTCTTGCTTTATCATACTAGTTCTTAGTTTAGTTGCCACGAGGGACGCGCGCAATATCCAATTACAAAACAATCATTGTCATCATGTATAATTAGGGTTGTCCATTCGGGCCGGCCCGGCCCGCTGGGCCCGGGCCGGGCAAAACCGGGGCCCGAACTCGGGCCAGGGCCTGAGCGGGCCGGGCTTCGGGCCGGCCCGGTTTTTTCCTATTTTAATTTTTTTTAAAATTAAAAAAACAATAAATTATAAAATATACATAAAATTACAAAAAATAACATATATTTTTTAAATTAATTAAAAGGACATAAATTACAAGTACAAAAAATTATAAAAATAAAAGATGATAAAAATAATTTTTTATTAATAATCATGTCATTTATATATTATACATAAACAAATTGTAAGTACTTATAGAAATTACATAAACAAATTGTATTATACATAAACATATATATAAAAAATATAATATATATACATATATAGGTGAAAACTCCTATCAACTTAAGTGGATAGGAAATAGTGATCCACCAAACTTTTTATCCATGGATCTTGCCTAGGGATCCTTGCATGATATGAAGAGACGGATATGCTTGGTACCAAGCACAAATTTTGTGCTTGGTAGTGATGTGTCACATCCTCATCCACTCATTACCCATGTGAATGTGGTTCCACATTTGAATGAGTGGAGGAAGATGTGTCACCTCACTACCAAACACAACTTTTTGTACTTGGTACCAAGCATACCCATATTTCTCTCTCTATCTCTCTCTCTATATATAGATTAATGAGTATCATATGTCATATGAGAGGATTCTCTCATATACAATGATGTGGCACAATCTTCACCAAGTGTATTTATGAGGCATTCTCTCTCCTACTTTATTCACTTGGTGGAGATTGTGTCACATCATTGTATATGAGGGAATCCTCTCATATGACATATGATACCCATTAATCTCATATATATATATATATATATATATTATATATATATATATAATATATATATATATATATATATATATATATATATATATATAATATATATATATATATATTATATATATATAATATATTATTATATATATGTTAGAGAGAGAGAGAGAGAGAGATTAATGCGGCTATCCTTGTCATATGGCAGGGGGGATTTCCTCCCTAACGCCTCTAAATCACAAATTGAAAAAGCGACATTATGGCATAGATCCGCTCCGTTGAATTTGATCTACATATTCTAAACCCAACACACTAAGTTTGGCGGCGTTGAAATCCGTCGTCGTATTGACCTCCTCGGCCTATGTGCAAAAGTCTCTTTTCATTCAAAACCGTTTAAAATTGATACGACGTGGAGATGGTCAAACGACGCACTGGCGTTCACCCAAAACTTTGCGTGTGTTGGGCCGTTATTAGAATATGCTAGATTAAGCTTTCAACGGAGCGTGATCATCCACCAAGCTGTCGCTCAATCATGTGATTTACGAGCGCCGTCATAGGAGGAAATCCCCTCCTATGACAGGATACCCATTAATCTCATAATATATATATATATATATATATATATATATATATATATATATATATATATATATATTATATATATATATATATATATATATAGGGTGAGGTTCTAATAAAAACCTCATTAGCCTAAAAACTAAAAACCATTGTGGGTCATTGGATCTATCTCATCCAATGGCTGAGATTAAAGATTAAAGTCAACTAGATAAGGTTTTCTTTGTAATTATGATAACCATTAAAGAGAGTAAGAAATAAATGCATTCAATTATGTCATCGAAATGTAGGCCATTGGATGAGATAGATTGGATGGTTAGGATAGATTTTTAGTTATGACTTTTAGTTTTTAGGCTAAGGAGGTTTTTATTAGAATCTCACCCTATATATATATATATATATATATATATATATATGTATATTTATATTTTTTATCTTTATTTATTCATTTCATTAAGATTTATTTAATTTAAACCATGTATCAAACATATGGATACATACATTGCACGTGATACATATTAAGAAACTACAAGAGTCAAAATTAATAATGTTTTCATAATTATACATTGAACTTATACACAATATACAAGATGAATGCTAATTAAACATCATCTCACAGGATTAATTAGAGTATTGTCCATAGAGAATGAACCTAATCAATCATATATATTGTGCACATGATAAAAGTGACCGCACAATCAAGAAAAAGTTAGTTGATCTTAGCTGCAAATAACTAATATTCAACATCACATTAGTTCACTGGGTAAAGGAAAGAAAAGACAAGCATGAAAGAATATGCCAAGTCACAAGTTCACTGGGAAGATAATGCACATGTTACATGTAAAAACAAAACTTAAAAACCGCAAGCAGCTGATCACCGACTGAGAAAATGTCTTTTAACATGAACACGCAAGGGTAGAAACTGAGATATCTAGCACATGCTCTTAATCTTGTAGGTATGTCTGAGTAAGTGAGCTGGAAACAAAAAAAGCGATTGCAAGAAGTGTCAGTTATCAACTTTGAACGTGCGTGAAGCTTGATGATCATCTAGAATTACAATTCAACAGACATGAATGAAAAGTTAAGGTATTAATTTATTTCCCTTGATACAAAAAAGAGCATGAACACGCATAAGCACCATGCTTTAAATAGCTGAAATGGAAAAAAAATAGCTAGCACAAATCAGATGGCACCTCACAAGAAAAAATAGAATCTGAAACAACATCAAAGAAAACTGCTAAACATCCAGATAGAACAATGAGTAGTAGTCTCCTTTATTTGATTTAAAGAACTTATAAAGAGTAGTAGTCTTCTTTCCATTCATTTCAACCTACAAAAAACAATGAGTCAGTACATATAGTTACATGAAATTTTCTTCTAAAACAATGGCAACATAGTGAAAATTTCTGTTGTATATTTGCTAAGTGCAAGGGAGATCTATAACTAAGCTAAAATTTAAAGCTAATAATTCTGTCATGTGAAAATTAACACTGTATTTACTTTTTTCAATCATGCTACCCATCGAAAACCAAATCTAGTTAGTTTGAAGATATTCACATTTAGAACATCTTTGCAACCTTTGTTGGATTTCATTTGAATTATCTTTCCTAATGAAAGATGATGATATACAAACAATAATAAATTTGTAACAGAGCATCACCAAAAACCTTACACTACACAAATTAGTGGAATTAGTTTTGTCCTTTGACTACACAAATATGTATATTCCAAGAAAATTAGTGGAATTTGGACACCATAATACTACACAAATTTATTCAACATTTATAGACAACTGATTTCATACTTCGAAGATAAAGAAGATTAGTTTCAAATTAGAATGGACGTCAAGGTATTTCTATGTGTAGTAGAAATATCTCCATGATTCTTCTCAGATATAACAGAACATCACCAAAATAAATGTTCACTATACATTATTGAGTCATGAAGAAAAAAGTTCAATAAACAAATGCAATAAAAAAAAATAGGATTATATCTTTTTTATACATACCAAATTAAATGATACAGTAGCAAGAAGGAACAAAACTGTATTTTGTCTCAGCATGTTCTTACCTTTGGTGTTGTCTTCGATGTTGTTCAGGTTTTTCCTCGATACCCACAATTTCCTCTGCATCAATGCTCAAATGCTCGAATCGAACCTCAATTGTTAGATTATTAATCCCAACCCCAAAAACACCAAAAAATTACCCAATCAATCAAACAAACAAACAAAAAAACAACAACAAACAAAACTCAATTCAAAATCTAATCTTTACCGCTCCATTTGATTCTTGAGTTTTAGCAAGAACCTTTCATCATCCTCCTTCGTAGTTTGTACCAACCACTCAAGCAAATTTTAAAAATATGCATACATACAATTCTATAAAAAAAACAAAATATGTGAGTGAGATAAACCAGATCATACCTACAGATATGCCTTCTTATCAATGAAAGCTTCAATAATATGAAGCATCTCGCTAGTTTCAAAAAATATTAAACTATCAATACATGTTTTTCAAAATTAGTTAGCAATAATAAGGAACAACCAATCCATGGAGGAGGAGAGGACAAAGAATATTTTGTTCTACAGCATGTATAGATCACTCCTAACAGACACCAAACTATTACTTAGATAAATTAAGGAGTGGAGCAAAATTGTTGTAATTTAATCACTGTTATCATTTAACATCAAGTTGGAGGATTACAATTTTAACAAAGAGATAAACCAAAAGCATAGAACATACCAAGAACAATGACATATGTTGTTCCATATCCCACTTCTTCATCTTATGTGCGACTAAGATCAATCATTGGCATTCAATGCGAACAAAAGAATGATGTCAAAACAAGGTAAAATGCATTATAGAGCACATATATATAGTACAGATCTAACAAGTGCGTCTTATATGTGGAGATTGATACGAGAAAATTAGGAAACAACATATTTTGACAAATTGGGAATTGAAATATAAGCACATGCCGGATAGTTTCGTTCTATCAGTAGCATAAACACAATATAAATATTTTCACCAGTTGTTTTTTGTAAACAATTGGTCGTTCATATGAAATAAGGAAAAAAAGTAGTTGATTTTCCTAATACCTGAACGAACCTGAAATTTTGATTTTTGCATATAGTTACATAAGTTTTTAGTTCTTATTTTGCGTGATTTTATAATCACTTTACAAGTTTACAATTTTATTTTTTGCATAATAACTCTCTGATTTTTTACTTATGAAAATAAGTTATGAATTGTGTTGGAGAAAGCTTGTGAAAGTTGAGAGAAAGAAAACTGAAGAGTATATGCTTTCTTTTGAAAGAGCAAAGTCTGAAGCTATGGGAGTGAGAGCTAAACTGACTGCTGAACTCTCTAAAGCAGACAATGCAAAAACAGAGTTGAAGTAGAAAATCAGCACTTGCAAATTACATACTAATAGGTTAGTATGCAAAGTCCAGCAATAACTTAAAGAACCAATCTCTCATATTATTTTGGTATCCCATATTATTCACAACATATGCCTAAAATACAAAGTGATAAAACATGAACTGATTTAGAGACTTATCCCATATTATTCACAACATATGCCTAAAATACAAAGTGATAAAACATGAACTGATTTAGAGACTTTCCCAATCGTATCTTTCAGCAAGAAAACTAAAACATGAACTGATTTAGAGACTTTCCCAATCGTATCTTTCAGCAAGAAAACCAAAAGGAAAGTTGTCCTTCAAAAAAATATTGAGTTTATTAGAAAAACCTCATATCTTGCCTCATCCTTCTCCTCAGCTCTCCTACAACTCTATAGGCAGCTCCCTGCCCCCTTAGACCACAACTGACCACAGTCAGACAATCCTGGAACAACCACTTTAATGCCATGTTCCTTATCTTCATTGTAAAAACAATCCCTGGCAATGTGAGGGCATAGCCGAATCGATGCAGGCTTTAGATTGGGCACCTCTCCCCGTAGAAAAACCCCTGCCAGCAAACAAACATAAACAAAAGGAGAGGTAACAAAAAAACCAAATGGAGTATCTATACACATACAAATGAAGAGTTAAACTAAATTTGCACCTGTAGTGAAGAAATGGAAAAGGTTTCAAGAAATGCGCCAAATCGATGCAGACTTTAGATTGGGCACCTCTCATCATAGAAAAACCCCTGCCAGCAAACAAACATCAACAAAAGGAGAGGTAACAAAAAAAAAAAAAAAAAAAAAAAAACAAATGGAGTATCTATACACATACAAATGAAGGGTTAAACTAAATTTGCACCTGTAGTGAAGAAATGGAAAAGGTTTCAAGAAATGCCTGAAGGGTTAAACTAAATTTGCACCTGTAGTGAAGAAATGGAAAAGGTTTCAAGAAATGCCTTTGGATTATGCTAATGGCAAATGCAGCAATATGACATCGACCATTGAGCCCCTCTCTGTAAAACCTACATTTGATAGCAATCTGTAGGCTTTTAGTTGAAATTTAATGCTAGTTATGTTTATCCAAATCAAGTCTAGTAGCTAAATCCAGTGACCTTCATATATTCTACAAATGAAGAAATCTATATAGTTATTCAATTTGAATTATAAGGTGTGCTTGATTCAAATACCAGACATGTTTTTGAAATTAGTACCAGAACTGAGTTTAGCAGTACCTTGTTCCCAATTTGAAGTAACTGGTCTCTAATTCTCTACACAGATCGTAGTTAAAATATAAATCACGAGCCTCACCCAATAGTATCCCAATCTCTTGACTTGTTACGTCAAAGAACACTTGGCTAGAGTGCAGACCTGCATGAAGAAGTTTCTTTGGCTTCCTCCTAGTTCAAGCATGTTCCTTTCCGCAACAAAGATATATTGATCAACCAGCTACATGAAATCCTCAATTGGAAGAGGGGAAGAAGAAGAGATGACTAAAATGATACATGCAACAGGGGATATCTCATCTACTTTCCCTTGAGACGTATATAACTCAGCTAGACTTCCGATTGGCTCACTTGTGGTTATTTTCTCCAGAGGGTCGTCACTCCTCTCAAATTGTAAAAAGAGGACATTTTCATAACAACGTCAAGGATACCACAATATTTAGATAAATTAAATTAAATTGGCTTACTCTCATCTCCATAGATCCTTTGAGAGTGGTCTTCACCTAATCAAAATTAGAGTTTAGATACATAAGGAAATGATCATATGGTCTTTCTCCGGAGATGGACATGTGAAACCAACCAGTGCAAACACTGTAAATTTAAAACACAACATCACTTCTGAAACAATGATACCCCACCGAAAGTAAAAACATTTTACCATCTACTTTTTACATTAGGTAGATCATCCATTTGCTAGAAAGGAGAATTCTTGTTGAGATTTCTTTTCCCACTGAAAAGTTTACAACAATTTGAAAAATATAAATAAATAATATTCCTTTAAAATGATATTATTTAATCATTGTATTTGCTACATAGGGAGGTGGAAAATGAGAAAAGAATTACTTTCCTGAAAATGCTAAAGCAACATAACTACTAATGAATAAGTACAGAAGATGAAGATTGGTCAAACCATACAAAATGCGCCTTTCATTCAACTTTTACTATAAAATTATTTTTTTAAAGCATCAGAATTATGTTAACTATAACCATAGCTACATAGACAATGGTATCTTGCTAAAACGATATTTCCTAAATCACCCAGTTAATAAGGGAAAATACAACAAAGCTATACCAATTTAGAGCCAAATTGACGAAACATAATAAAAACAGTAAATAAGGATAGTACAAAGATAAGAACAAGGATTTTGGTGAAGTTACAATGCTTCTCTTCGATTACCATCTAATTCAGTTACAGTATCTGTATTTATATGAAAAATATTTAATTTATTTAATCTAAACATAAAAAAGTATTAGAAAAGTGCACATTATTTCACATTGTTCTAAAAAAAGTTAATAAACATAGAAGCTTAATAAATATGCACCAAAATGCTCTTAAAAAATATATTAATAACATCTAACACATGTCTGGCATGGCATGGATTTATGTTTGGAACATCCTTATACTCATTATGAGATCAAGGAGCACTGAGGCAGCTAGAGGCAAACCCAGCAGCATGCTTGTTTTCCTTGAATAACCTTTTCCAATATAGTAACTGATAATTGTTATTATGAGTATTTGATCTTATTCTAAATGATTTATATACTAAGGTGTCTGTTGGCCTCTTTGTTTTAATGATGTTTAGCAAACAATTTACCACTAATATTATTTGTCTAGTGTTGGTATATTTCTATATATTATAGACAAACAACGAGTTGGAGGTTGGATGGAATATGCGCTGTAATGATGATATCCAATGGAGGTTGGCAGAATAGTGGAGTGAAGCCTTGCAATTCAAAGTTAAAGATTAAGTTCAAGCTTCATACGCATGTGTATCAAGTTGAGATATAATGAAGATTAAGATCAAGATTGGGTAATCTAGTTTAGATTTTATATTATATGTGTTAAGTACCTTAAGCTCAATATCATATACACACACGTATTTGGTTTCTATGTATATATATAGTTATATATATACATGCATGGTTTTGAGTTTTCATGCTTTAGACACACTTGCAAAATACATGAGTTTTTACAAATAGAAATTTAATTTGAGAAATTCTTTTTCTAACATATTTGTTTTCATGTTTATAAATATTTTGCAAAGTTTCATCAAGTTTGGAATTGATTTGTTATGTTTAATGGAATTTACAAAATTATGTTTTTGTTCGTGCACATGTTCGTGCATGTTTTACAAAATAAATGAGTCTTCATAAATGGGAAGTGGTATTCAAGAAATTCTTTCTTTGACATATTTATCTATATGTTTAGAAACTTCCTTCAAAAGTTTACTATTTTTGGAGTTGATTTACTATGCCCAATTGATTTTACAAAATAGTGTATGTTAGCAGTTTTTCAGAAACTGTAAATCTGTGTTCAAACATTTATTTCTCTCAACTGGTAAATGATGTTTCAGAAATTCTTTCTCTAACATGTTATTCTACATGTCTAGAACCTTCCCACAAAATTTCATATTTTTGGAGCTGTTTTATTATTTTTAATGGATTTTACAAAGCTGATACGCAGTGCTATAGTACCCGTAGTCGACCGCCAAACTCTCTGGAAGTTACTCAGCTTTGCATATGGCTCCCCCCCCCCCCCCCCCCCCCCCGTAGCAGCCGACCGTTACACAGTAATGGCTAGTTGCTGATTTTTTATTTTAATGGTTTTTTGGGGTTTTTGGGGTTGGTTTCTTCAAGCCTATATATACCCCTTTGCCATACCTATTTTTCATCACCCAAGAGAGTTTTTAACCAAGTTTAAAAGAGTTTTAACAAGGGTTTTAGTTTGGTTTAAGTGTGTTTAAGAAGCTTTTAAGAATTTGGAAGTTTGAGTTTGAGAAATCAAAGGTTTTAGTTTGGTTTAAGTGTGTTTAAGAAGCTTTTAAGAATTTGGAAGTTTGAGTTTGAGAAATCAAATTCACAAGAGCTTGAGGAGATCATCTATTGGTGTTTTGTCATCCAACTATTCTCCTTCTACTTCTTGATCTATTGAGAAGTTTTCTAATTCTTTTCTCTAGCAATTTTATTATTGATTTTCATATTCTTATTATTGCTAGTTTGCTATTTGAGTTAGATTTGATTTTATCTCATTGTTACACACACCCACTTGAGCTTATTGTATTTACATTCATAATATATTTTGGGTTGGTGATTGAGTGTGAGCTTTCATTGTGTTCTTATTCATATTAGAGAACAATCACTTGTTATTTTGAGCCTAATCGTGAGAATCACTTTGTAATACACTTGTATACCGAGAGGAGTGTGTGGTGAGAGTCGGGGATCGTTCCAAGAGGAGTGGCATCGGTTGACAAGCCTAGGGAGAGGTTGTAACCGAGCACTTGAGGGAGACACGGCTAGGTCCAACACTTGTGAGGGTGTAGAGTGTGATTGCAAGAGTGTCGATTGTAAAGTTTTCGGTTAGGTAGAAAACCGAGTGTGAGGTGTGTAGAAGTTTAGGCTTCCTAACCGGATTGTGATAGTGGATTTCTCCCCGGGAGTAGGGAGCGGAGACGTAAGATGGAAGGTCCGAACTCCGTGATCATATTGCTTATTTAAGTTTGTCTTTAACGTATTTGTTTTTGCATTCATCTTATATCGCCAATTGTGCATTGCTCATTTATTTCATCCACTATCTTATTTAGATTATTTACCCTTGTGTTAGTCTTCATATCCTTGCATATATCATTTTGTATATCTCTTTAGTAGGATATATCATCTTGTGTTAGTTTATATATCCTTGTATATATACATTTCATCATATAGGATATATCTCATTATTCATATTGTTTATCCTAGCTTATATAGTTGTTATATTTCATACTTACTAGGATAACTTATTAATTAATTTTAATTGATATATAATCAGATTAGATTAGCATAAGACCCTAATCATTCCCCCTCTAGGGTCTAACAATTGGTATCAGAGCTTGTTGCTCTTTGATTTAAGGACTAATCTCCTTGAGTTAAAGATCCAAGTTATCTTATTTGTGCTAATCTAGTTATGATTACTTTTATCTTGCTTGTATTTTTTCACATATATATCATGAATATGAATATATTTCGTTTAGGCTATGAATCAAATATTGCTCCTAAATTCATCAATTTTTCCTATGCATAATGGGCTTCTAGATTTAAACTATTTGTTGAATCTAGAAATATCGACTAATGGGAAGTTATTGATTGTGCTTATATTATGCACACTTTGGAGATATCCAAGTGGAGCAATCATGATAAGAAAATGTTTTCAATGAACAAGCGTTTGTTAGAATTTTTGCTTAATGCTTTTGAATCATCCATTTCTAACAAATTTATTCATTTTGATAGTGCTTACAAACTTTAGAAATTTATTAAAGCATATCAAGGGGACTTGGAGGTAATCCGACAAGCTTTGGAGGATTCTTCTTCAAGTTCATGTGGAGCATCATGCACACGGCCACAAGAGGATAACTCTTGTGTAGTAAGCGATTCCGATTCCGATTCCGATAATGATTTATCTATTGATGAACTCGCTTGTGCATATGAAAGATTATCTCATGCCTACACAAAATTGCAAAATAATTTTATTGATCTTAAAAGCAAGCATGTAGAATTAAAATCCGATCATGGGTTGCTAGTGTCCAAATTTGATGTCATTGAACAAGAAAATACTATGCTTAAAGAAAACAATGACATGCTAAGGTTTGAAAATAAAAAATTAACTTCATCTATTACTAGCTTAACTCATGCTAATAATAATGGCATGATAGAAGTAGAAATAATTAGAAATGAGTTTAATTCATTTAAATATGATCATGTTTCATCTACTTCGATTTCCAATGCTTGTATGCCTAAAAATGAGTTAGATCATGTAAAAGAACGCATATCATCTTTAGATTCAACCCTTAAAACGTGCATTGTAGATAATAAGAAACTTATGGACTTGGGTGCAAAGTCTCGTACT